AACAATAACTAAAGTTGTCAAGTAACTAATTATATACTCTTTTTATAATTACCCTTTGTAGTTGTTATATAACTATTAGTTAAATATACTATTAATAAAATCTTGAATTACAAGTACTTATCTTAATATTAAAAAAAAATCCAATTATGTGATATAGTAAAATTTACTTTTAATAAATATTAAGATTATCTAAAACTTTTAATTTTTTTTAAATTTTTACTTTATTGTCATTATACAAAATTCAGTAATCTAATTGTTATATAAATATATTAATTTGCAATATAACAATTTGCTATATTTAACTAAATCTTATTTTATTTTTTATAAATTTTAAAATAATTTTAAAAATTTTTATTAAAATTTTAAAATTAAATATCTTTTTTTTAAACCAAAATTTAAATATAGTATTCTAATATATTTTTATATTATTAATAAATTCATTTATTAATAAAATATTAAGTTTTATATAATTATAATTAATTCTAACTTTCATATATTAAACTTGTTTAAACTTTAAAAATATATTTATATATCTTAAACTAGTTTGCAAACCTTAAACAAAACCCAGATCAAACACAAACTTAACTAAAAAGTTTGAAATCAACTCAAACTAAACATAATTCAAAAAAGTTTGAGTTAAAATTTGATTTGAAAATCAAATCAAACCCAAACTTAATTAAATGTTTGGTTCAGTCTGATTCAATAAAAACACTAATATGCTGATTTCAAAAAAAAATACTTAAAAAAAATATTTTTTTAAAAAAAAAAAATTTAGATTCAAAAAATCACTCATTATTAAAATACAAATCTTTTTTCATCAGCTCAATTAATCACATATGTAATTAATTTTTTGGACATTTCAATACAGTAAAATCTTTCATAAATGCACGCTTTTGGGACTGAACTTTAACGACGTGCACTTAGAGAACAATAAGAAAAAGTGTATTTATGGAGATTATGTATATATTTGGCCCGTATTTAGAGAGGGTGTGCACTTATAGAGAGGAGGTTTCATTGTAATATCGATATCATATACGTATCAATTCCAGATAATATCTAGTATTGATATGTACATATTAGAACACTGATAGTGTAGGTGATTAACTATGTAACATCACAATTCTTCAGAAAATAAAAAATTGTTACTTATAGGTTTCCCTCTTGAGCACTCATAAATTGTTTCTTTCCCACCATTTTTTAAATTTGTGCAGTCAGTCGGTAAGTTACACATGTTCTTATTTGGACTCACTGATTGGTTGCTTCCTTTTCAGAAGTGAAATGTAACACAACTATTATAGTTTTAATCCATGTTTGGAAAAATTAATATTGATGGTCGATAATCAACCTTTTTTTTTTTCTTCATTAAAAAAACAGAAATTTTCAAAAGGATAAATCTAAGCATGATTCGATTATCTTATAATAGAATTAAAGATAGTATTTACAAATCAAATAGTATCCACACTATTATCCAAAAATCAATAAATCCAAATTTTAATCATGTTAACAATAGAATAAATCCTATTCGTCCGATTTCAAATATTACAAATAATCTTTACAAATCATCTGAATATATTAAATTTATAAAACCGATGAATCAAATTTCAAATATGAGATCAAGAATCATTATATTTAGTCGTAATGTTGTTATTGAAAATGCTTCAGATGATAATAAAGAAACTTCGTCAATGGATATGACTCCAAAGTTGTTAAATTATCGTCCTCGTTATGGTCGTGATGGACAGAAATTACCTCCATTACCTTTAGAAAAAGTTGAAGAACTAATATACGACCGAATTAAGTGGCAAAGCGAAAATTTATATGATAATGTTAATTATGAATTATTAGAAGGTATTATAGAATAATGTTATTAAATTTAATGGTTAGATTGTTTTGTTTTTTTTTGAAAAAACATTGATTGATTTTTTATATATAGATTTCCCCGCTTGGCTTTACGGCTGTAGAATGTCAAATCTCACATCTCTATTTGAGGGAAAAAAATGGCGAGACATTATTAATATGACTGCTAGAGACTTGGAATTGTTGGGTGTTAAATCAACGACTTTCAGACGTAGACTAACCACATATTTTTGGATTATACGATTAGATCTCGTAAGTTTATAATCAGTTAAAAAAAATAATGAAGATTAATTTATATTATAACCCTATACTTAGCTTGTTTTCAAAATACTTGAAATAAAGTGTTTTTAAAATGTTTGTGAAGATTTGATTAAATACTATTAATACTTAAATATAATTATTATATTAAAAAATGAAGTTTCATAATATTTAATCAAGTATTCATAAAATTTTAAAAAATTTTGATTTTAAATATTTTGAAAACTACCTAATGAAAAGCGTTTATAAACTTTTGAAGATTTTATATTTCCCATGCATACAAGTAAAAGTTGTAAAAACACTTTTGACTAGGTAATATATTATTTAATACAGTTAATAAAAGAAAGTTTTGTTCTTAATTAATCTAGGCCGATAAAGAAGGACGCGTAATTAGATACAAAAAAATCAGAACAACACCTGACATTACCCCAGAATTATTGGAAGGTATATTATTAAATTATAAAAAAAAAAAAAAAAAAAAAAATTCTTCTTTAATGATTAACATAGATAATATATTTTAACACTATTTTAAAAAATTCAAATAGATTTTCCAACTTATCTTGGCACTATAGGGATGAAACAATACGCTTCAAAATTCGAAGGCAAAAATTGGAAAGAAATTTTTGGAATGAATTATAAAGATTTGATAGCTTTGGGAATTGAATCTATTGAAGATCGAATTCTATTAATTAAGAGTTTTTGGAAAGCCAAACGTGTAATTGTAAGTATTTTTTCGAATATTTTTTCAATACCTTTTTTTTTTTTTTTGATAACAAAATCTTATTTGTGTAATTTTAATTTTATTCAAAGATATATACAGAGAAAATAAATAAAGTTTCTGATGCAAATATCGATGCAAATATCGATGCAAATATCGATGAGAACTTATAGGTAAAGTTTTTATCACTGAATCAAGGGTGAAACTGGTTCTATATATGGGAAATTATTTCGGAATCGTGATCAAAAAATATATCCATACTAGTATTATAATATTAAACCGTTATCTGAATTGTTGAGAATTTAAAAACCAAATATAAATAAAGAATTACATTGTTTTACATGTGTTATTTCTTGTTACCATAATTACAATATAGAAATCTGGATGTATTAATGCACGGTAACTACACAGTAACTAATGATAATATGCAGTTACTATGCAATTTCTACCTATTATTATATCTTTAATATATCTTAATTTCTATAATTTATAGAAATGATAGTGGTTAGAATGAATAACCATGTCAATGGATAATTTTTACCCATATTAGTTAAGAAAGCGGATTTAAACTCGATTGTAGTTTTGTCTTATCATGATCTTGGCAAAATATTTTTAATACTATCATCTTTAAAATATGAGAATTCTTCTATACAATATATTAACAAATTTAAGAAATATTCTACAATTACTAATTCCGTGAACCTGCCAAGACATTCATATGCATTGGTATTTATAGAGCGCGAGTTCGCCACTTTGACAAAATTAGAATTTAATTATCACGTTCTAATGCTAGAATGAATCTATCGCGTTCTAATGCTAGAATCCGAAGGATTATTATGCTTTAATATGACCTAAATGGCAATATGAGAACCTTTATTGCATGAAATCTACCAATTAGTTAGGTTTTACGAATTTCAAGAGCAAATAATGGTGTGATAAATTAATAATGGTTGGTTGATAATGACAAAGTTTAGATTATTAATTCCGGCACACAATGCTCACGATATTCCTTAATGACCAATAATAAAAATCTACCGGGAAGTCTAAATATAGTTTACTATATATAAAATAATAATACCCTATATTTAGACTCATTCGTTTTCACTTTGCTCATAGGGAGTTGTAAATCAGAAAATCAACTTTAACGTTAATATACACATTTTAAATCACTACCAAATAAGTCCTGGTGACATAAAAATTGGTAATTCATGTGATCAAAATAATTTTGATGTTACCATATATGGAAGGACAATCAAGTTTGTTAACCATATTTATGTAATTCGGAAAGTATGTGACAGAAATTTCCAGAATAGTCTATTGCATTAGTAAACGTCATAACACAATAACTTACGATATTGATATGTTTCTTACTATATGCTTATACGACCAAGAATTTTTTTTATCAAAAATAGTACTCAAAAGATTTCAAATTGGGACAGTCGGCCGAAAGTTACCACTTAAATAGAAGAAATGACAATATTTTCTTTGCAGACAAAACATATTTACAAGTTATTGAATTTATTTATAAGCCATCAAATTTAGGCGTAAAGATTTTCGAGAATTTTAATTTCAAATTACGTGTCATAATTCCTCACTTAGTATTAGCAAATCATTACGTAGTTCCGTAGGAATTTAATTCCGAACCTCCACTATTAATCACATAATCGACTATCACATTGTTTTACATAATTTACATAATCTAAAAAAATAGTATGAAAAAGGATTGAAATGAAAGTTATGATGTACGTTTGCAAGAGATTAATTTTATTCGTTCCGCAAGAAATAAATTTGATAAATAATCAATTGATTAATTTTGGATTAGTAAAATTTAATGCATATAATTTATAATTAAAATTGTAATAATGTTAAAATATAATACTGTATACATACACATGTATCTCGGACGATTCGTGTGATATATGAAATATATGCTAGGTTTTATTTTGTGTGAGGTACATTTACAATTAAAGAATTAAAGAATTAAAGGGAAAACCTATTGATAAAGTGCATTAGTCCACTTTCCTCTAAGAAATCATTTAAGAAATCATTTAAGAAAGTTAGAAAAAGTGGAAACATGAATTTATCTGATTATAAAAAGTTATTACTATGAAAAAAATATTGATATGATATGAGAAAATATTTTTATAAGAAATTAATGATAATGAGAAATTATTTGTTATGATATTTTATCTATAGTAGTGTATAAATTTATTGGAAATGTGTACTTTAATTATAAATATACAGTCAATACTTTAAAAAATTTAAGAGTAAGGCATTAAGAAACATTACTAATGTAGATTGCAAATCATCCATGCATGATGTCATGTATCCGCAGTGCGCGGATCATATTTTAACCGAAAATCTTTTATAAATATGACGGAAAAAAATTTGAAACTGTAAAATAATTCGAATTATAAAAATATAAACGATGAATACGAATACGCAAAAGGCTGACGAAAGTGTTTTAAGTAGCATCAAAATGGAATTTCCACCTTCGATTGAAGCGAGAGACTTAATCTTGAGGCCATCCGACGGAAAAAAGCCAAGAAGGTCTCCAAATGCATTTATCATATATAGAAAATTGTTCGTTCAGACGGCGAGGGCGAGCGGATACAACTTACAGATGACTGAGATTTCTAAGACAGCATCTAAATCATGGGAAAACGAATCCGAATTTGTCAAAAAATACTATAAAAGGCTTGCCAAGGACGCATACAAGTATCGCAACGAAATGTTTCCTAAAACAGATCGAAGAAAAAAAAGACAACAATGGAATATTGTTTCATTTAAATCATCGTCTGAAAAGCAAGAACAAGATAATGATAATGATAACGAATCTTCACCAAATCAAACACAATTATACTCATCACCAACGGAGGACGTATCCAATATTGTCTTTAATCAAATGCAAAATAACGACACGAACGCTTTTCCGCTTAATATCCAACTAAATCCGTCGTTCGTCGATATTTATGCAACAGGCGCTATCGGTTTACAAGGGTCACCTGGTGAGGACCTAATTGATTCACAGATTTGGTCCAGTCCAGCCCTGTCGACAAGTAATAGTCTCTCTCCAGAAATTGACGAGTTTAACGGGTTTAGAGAATTTGGTGAAATTAACGAGTTTAACGAAATTGGCGAATATTATACACCAATAAATACAATAAATTCGATAAATACGATAGATTCGATAAATACCGATACGATAGATTCGATAAATACGATAAATACAATAAATACAATAGATACGATAGATACGATAAATATGATAGATACGATAAACATGATAGATAACGATTTATACAATTATAATAATTATGACAAACCAATTAATTTTTTCGATGTATACGAAGATACATATAACAATTATAATATGATTATTCCGAATAATCCATTATTTCAATATGGAAATTTTTTAATCGATGAACCAGAAAATAATATATCACCTTGTTTTTAAATCATGTTTTATTCGTTTTATTCGTTTTTTATTCGTAAATAGCATAATTATGCTACGTATATCGAGATTTTGTAATAATTATGGATTTTCAAAATAAGTTAGCAAGTTGTATTAAGATAAAAAAAAAACGTTAAATATGATATACGATAGAAGGTATAAACTATACCTTTAGCCGAATAATGTAACAAATTTCAAAATAAAAACGGGTAATGTTTTACAATAATTGATTTGAATGGGATGGAGCGTTAAAAATAAAGAGTTTTAAAAATTAAACAAATATGGAAATAGTTAACTTTATGTGTATATTTATTTATATGAAATATATGAAATATATGAAATATATGAAACAATGATAAATATAGTTAAAAATTTATTCAGGGACAAGACGTGTAATACAGAAAAATAACTTATGAGGGACGAGACGTGTGATATAGAAAAGTAACTTATGATTAATAAATTAAAATTAAGCTAGAATTTTATTAAATTAAATAGATATTTCTATAACTGTTTTTATACATAGATACATACATAAATATAAATATGAAAATTGTATGTTATTGTATGTAGTCGGAAAAAAATAAACATAACAATGCATATTAACCCTAAATAGAAAATACAGAAATAGGGAACACTTCATTATGTTAATAAAAATGATATATTATATCAATACGAAAAATTTCCGTATAGTTAAGCATGTGATATACTTAGCGCTAACATTTTATATTTTATTTGTAAATATTTGGATATGTTTAAAAATGGCTAAATATAATTTAAATAAATGATTGGATCTACTTGGGAAAATATTTCCGTGTCGATGCTGAATTATAGTTGAGGTTATGATGAAGGCTATTTTTAGACAAAACAAGACAAGAAATGGCCGCCTACCTTCTTTTTTGGATTCAATGCGCATTTTTTAACTTCGGGTACCTAGAAGTTCCATTTATCCTCATTTCATCATTTTTATCACATTTTTATCATCATTTTTATCATTTTTATCATCATTTTTATCATCATTTTATCATCATTTTTATCATCATTTTGAAATCTTTTTTTAGAGATCACCTAAAGTCTGAAATTTTTTAAGTTATTATAATCATAATATCCCGGCTTTAACTATATCCTTCAATATCTCTGTATTTATTTGATCTTTGTAATTTGTAATACACTTAGAAATCATTATCCATATTTAATAAACAAATTAATTTGCGTACATACATACGTATGTACGTACGTAATTTAAAATTTAATTTGGAATAAACAAACACATCGCTGTACATAGCTTAATGACTATCATTTCCTTATTTAGTGATTACTAATTGATTTATAATACAGTAATATGGGAAATACTTGGCTCGGATAATTGTCTGCCGTTAAATACTTGATACGTACTACGTAAATCATTACGTATTACTTACGCCATCGGAATAATATACTCCTTGATCTACGCGCTTCTATTATAAATATTTCGCTCAATTTTAAAAGTTTCTGTGCCACAAAATAAATTAAAGACGTCATTCGCTCTACATTGGGCCTGCGATTACAATTGTGTAAATAGAATGTTCTTGACTATTCTGACTTACAAAACCATTCTCAGAAAACATTTCATCTTCCGTGGTTATACTAGTGGTGTATGGTTTAGTAAAGTAAATTACTATACTCATAATATATTTTGTAATAATAATATTCTGATCCGTTGGAATTAGCGGAAACATCGTTTCCGCTTATTCACATACAGATCAGGGCATCTTGATATAGTGATCTGGTGATTATATATAAAATAGATAGTCGTAAAGAATTTAATTATTATGTGATCTCAAGAAAATTCTACAGAAATTTATTTATTTAAAATATATTAAAAAAAACTATATGTGACAATATCAAAAAAGAATTTAAGAGTAAATAAAAGCATGATTTTTATTCCTGATCTCACAAAATTGAGTTCCTTTACCGTTTAACAAAAATCATGATTTTCACAAACTTGCACATAAAAGTCCCAGCATTACCACCATTACCACCAATCTAGGACCTTATAATTCTTCAGAAAATTTTATTTTTCAGAAGGAAAAACTTTCTTAATGGTTTTTTAAGAGACGAAACTACTATTAGACCAGGATAAATATTCTTAACAGGGAGTACCGAAAAATTAATTGCAATACAGTTTCATGTAATTATAATCAACTAAAATTGTTATAATTGCAATTTTTTTTTACCTTTACTATAAATTTCGCGATAATATAAAATTTTAAGAAAAATGAAAAAACTGATCATATTCAAATACAGAATTATATTGTCATTAACTATAATTGTATCTAAATGATTCATTAAGGACATAAGTTACACTGATATTTACCATGAAGGTCTAAAAGAAGGCATCTTCGAAAGAATATAAATCACGTTGATGATTATCATCATTTGGAGATCTGTTTGATAATCAGTTATGATCTGGAAAAACATAATGCCTGTCGTCATTTGAGCGTCTAAAATAAAAACATATTTTTAATTATCGCTTATGATCTGGAAGAACATATATTACACTAATGTCTGCTGTTATTTGAAGGTCTAAAAAAAGCATCTATGTAACATTTGTTCGGAACTAAGGTTGTTAGACAAAATTATTTTTATCAAATAGTGAAATTCGAAACTGGTGAAACTTCAACGAAACGACAAAACTCTGTGAAAACTGGCAAAACCCCTGGTAAGACTGAAACATCTGAAAAAAGTCAAATATAGTGAAGATCAAATCTTTTAAGATTTTGAAAAGGTTGAGTTATAATAGTGAATCAAAAATATTTCACATGTGGCTATTAAGCACAACATATGGCTTATATAAAAATGTACAAAACCAATATATAAAACAATAATTTTTCATTTGCATAAAACTAGATTTCAGATTTTAAACTTATCCTTTAATCTGTAAGTTTTTTTAGGAAAATTTGCCTGGAAAATTGTTAAAAATATGCTTAAAATCTATTTTTTTTAATTTTTAAAATATTTAAATAAAATATTATTTGATAATATTGATAATATTTGAAATAAGGATTATATTATAGTAGGGTGTGGGTCCCATAGCTTAGCGGTTAAGCTCCCATACCCTCCACAGTCAAGGTCAACGGTTCAAGTCTGGCTGG